GATGTACAAAGACATATAATATGTAAACTCACCTATGCGAGGATGTGGAAGAAACACATGCCAAGGATGACTCCTGGGGGTTTTGTGGGCACATCTGTATTGAGGGTTCTGGATGGTGGCATTGTTGGCATTCTGACCCAGATCATTCTTTGTTCTGGGGACTGTCTTTGTCAAGCCTTTAGCAGCATCACTGGCCCTGCACTCATAGGCAACAGCAATCCCAGAAGTGTCTCTGATGATGATGGTGGTGGTGTACCATGGAGTCAGTTACGAGTCATAGCGACCCTGTATAGAGTTTCCGAGACTGTAAATCTGTATGGGAGCAGAAAGCCTCATCCTTCCCCCAAGGAACAGTTGGTCATTTCAAACTGCTGACCTTGAGGTTAGCAGCCTGACTTTAACGTACATTTAAGAGCTCCTTAAAAGTATGTCTGGTGGTGGTGATGTGCCGTGGAGTCAGTTTCGACTCATAGCGATCCTGTAGAGGGTTTCCGAGGCTGTAAATCTTTATGGGAGCAGAAATCATCACCTTTCTCCTGCGGAACAGCTGGTAGTTTCAAACTGCTGATCTTGAGGTTCACAGTCTGATTCGTAACCACTACACTACCAGAGCTCCTTAAAAGTGTCTCTAGATATTGTCAAATGTCCCTGAGAGTGGAGGAGAGAAAGGCAAAATCTGCCCCCATTTGAGACCCACCGGTCTACCATGATGCTGATGCTATATAACCAAGATATGGAACCCTGGAATAGGATTGTGTCAGTAGGGTGCTTGGGGTTCCAAGTTACAGACTGTTCAGCCACAGTGACATTTAATTTTCTCACACAACAATAAGTCAGGGGTTGTTAATTCAGCAGCTCTGTGGGATCACAAGATGGCTGCCGCAACTTCAAGCATCACATCCTCACATAATAACTTTCACGGCAGGTCTGGAAGCTTATCTTTGCAAGGGCCTCCTTTTATCAGGGGGAAAATAAATATTTCCCAGATGCTCTCAGCATCTTCTTTCCCTTCAGGTCCCACTGGCCAGTACTAGATCCCTTCACTTTGTTGTTAGATGCTATCCAGCGGACTTATTTTCAACTCAGAGCAACTCACCTGACACAGTAGAACTGCCCCAGTTTTCTAGGCTGTACCTGTTCATAGGAAACCTTACACAGGGTCGCTATTAGTCTGAATTGAACTCGACAGCACTTAACAACAAATCCTATGAAAGCAGATTGTCAGATCTGTCTCTTGTGGAGTGGCTGGATAGCTGGAAGCATTACTCTCTCAGTTAGTGGCCAAGCTTACTTATTCTGCTGCTGCAGAAGCTATTGGGAAGGTAATGACTGGCTGGGGCTAGAGAGGCTGTCCTGCCCGGCTGTCAGTAAAGAACAAGGGCAAAACCTTGGCCACAAGGACCAAGCTTGAGATAGTTCATTTGTCCAAGATTTATGGAACACCCAAGTAGGTACCAGAAGTCCTTGAGTGGCACAATGGTATTTAGCTACTGACAGAGGTTTGGAAGTTCAAATCTACCCAGAGGCACCTTTTACTCTGAAACACATGGGGTCACAAGTTGGCATCAACTTGATGGCTTGTTTGTGGCTTCTTAACACTGTGTTAAGGATAAAAGATAAAAATTTAAAAGTCTAGGCACGATTAAAAAAAACACACACAAAACTTTGTATTGTGAATTGAGTGAAGGTTTACAAATAAGATCATCAGTTTTATATTCAGCAAGCCACACACTTTGTTTCAGCTCAGTGACTGCAATCCCCTCCATGGAACAACAAGTCTCCTGCTTCCTTCCTGTGCTTCCTATTTCCATTCCATCCACCTGCCCATCGCTGCTCAACTTTGTCCTTAGGTACATGTTGCCCTTTTGATTATGAATGACTGACCATTCTAACATTAATATCTAGGCCACCACTTGGACAATCTCAATCTGCTGCTTACAAATGCTCAAGAGAAGATCTACCACCTCACTTGGACAAATCCCTCCTTGAATTTTTCAAGGAACAACTCAAGGCTACTTGCTGTCCTGAAGTCTCTCTCCTCTTACCATTCAGCTCAGAATGACTTCCCCTTCTAAATTCTTACAGCACATGCGCTCATTTTACATTTGTTGAACATCTGGGCCCTGGAGATACAATTTTACTAAAAAGACAAGTTGCCTGCTCTCACAGTGTTTCTATTTGAGTAGCATGGAGAGATAACTATGAGACAGGAATGACATTACGAGAGGTGAGACATCAGAGCACCTCAACTTGTCCGGAGTTGATGTAGGAGATGGTGGCTAGAGAAGATACATTTTGGAGGAAACATCATAGAAGTCAAAACTTGAATGAATAGAATTTAGGGAAATGAAAAGGGAGGTCAAGATGTGCTACTCCATCTAGAAAAATAAGTGTGTGAATAGGACCAGAGGTGAGTGTGGTGGAGGAATAGAAAGCAGCTCAGTATTGCTGGAGAAGGGCGTGGGAAGGGAAAACCGAGAGAGATGAGGCTAGAAAGCTAGGTGGAGGCCAGGTCATCAGGGGCAGTAAGCTCTTGGACTTTATCCTAAAGGGAGCTATTAAAGGGAGTGCCAAGTTTAGGAAACACACCCTTACTCCTTTGCTCCTTCCCCACACTTCAGCTATGCTATATACAAGATGACCAACAAGAGACCGTGGAGATGTCTGGACCAGGGTGGTTGGCCATGGAGTGGGTAGTGGCTGTGAATCTACGCATCTAGGGCTGCCGCTGGTTAGGGAGAGCTGGAGACTAGGATGACTTCTGGTTTGGACTAACCGAGGATTGGTGATGCCCTTCACAGAGTTATCCAGCATGGCTGGACTCATTTTTGTACCTTTCATTTGAGCTATGTCTCACAAGGCACTGAAAACACTGTGTTCATTAATTAACCTATTTTTATGGTTTTCCTCCTCCCTCCCCCACCTCCCATATCAAAGCTACTCATTCCCTACCTCTCTTGGATCACACTTTTTCTGTTCTTCTCCTTGGGGTCCATATCCACAGGAACAATGTAAAACCTGGTTCATATACTTCACCTTTTCATCAGTGTCTCTTGAGTGAAATCCTACTAAGAGACAGGCACTGAAATCCATATAATTTCATCAATCATCACGAACATGGTTTTCCACCTAATACAAATCTAACATTTCCAATCATTTCATCTCAGTGATCAATGAACTACAATTCATCTGAATCCAATTTTTTCCCTTGCATTTGTCTTTTATTCATTACAAAAAAAAAAAAAAAAATCCCTCATTCCTTTACATTTTAAAGACTAATCTTTAAATAACAGCACATGAACCAGCATAGCTTTGGCTGTCTTCCACGTGGTCTTTTATGTATATACATTATTTACAATATGCAATTTCACTACTTGAGGTTACCGGGTACTAATTTTATAATACTGAGTAGTTACAGGATGGGGCTCGGAATATACTATAGAACTACGATTTAAGTAGTACCATGCCTGGATGAAGCATCAAAGTGAAAAGGGTGAACTTAAAGGGCCTTTAAAACATCTTGAAGCAATAACAAGCCATAGATTGAAGTAGGGGCGTTTTAAAACATTACACAGAACTAAAACAATTGAACCAATTTGTTCTTTGTTCTTTTTATTGCATTCTTTATTACATTAATACTGTTTAAAAAAGAAAATCAAAAGGCACTGAATTCTAGTACGAAGCTCTGCAAAGTCCTCCAAGGGGCCTCGCTAGGACAGAGCGCTGCTCCAAGCGCTGTAAAGGCCTCTGAGCTCCGTCCCAGGGAAGCAACATGAAACGGAAGGTCTCCGGACCAAGCCCTTTTGCGAGTCCTGGGTCCTTGCTCTGGGAGAGGATCGGAGCGAAGTTTGTCAAGTTTTCAGACAGGCCTAGTTGAGCAAACGCTGGAGCCTCTTTGCTCCAGTAGCAGGCTCTGCCCGCCGGAGGTTTGCTCGGGGGGTCTCCGGGTGCTCAAAGAAAAACCCTGGGAGGCTGGGGGAGCCGCCCAGACCGTGCCAATGCCCGGCCGGAGACAAAATGGACCTGAAGCCCCAAGGCACAAAGAAAGAGCGCCCCAACAGGACGTCGAATGACCCTGGAAACTCGGGACCTTGTTTAGCTTTAAGCCAACCCAACTGCCCCTGCCCTCCACCCACTCCCTCGCCACCGGGGCCTTTTTTCTTTCTTTTCCTCCCCCGCCCCCCTTCTCTCTTTTTTTTCCCCAAGAGACTAGTATTTACTCGGCCCAGGAGAGGACGCGCTGGCCGTGGGGCCCAGCCCTTCCCTCCGGGGCCGCCCTTCCCGCCGGAGCCGGCTGATTGATGGCCAGGTCGGTCGGGTCCCCCGCCTCGGTTGGCCCGCGAGCCGGCTGTGTGTTTTGGAAGCGGCGCAGCGGGCTGCAGCCCTCTGACGCCCGGAGCGGGCAGCGCCGCCCTTCCTTCCCCCCGGGCTCGGGCGGCGGCGGGTCCAGGA